TGATAAAATAAAATTGAAAATATCTCATTATTTTTCTATTACTATTTTATGTTCTCAGAACTTTTGGTCAGACCTAAGTAATTGAAGAATTTCTAAAATGCAAAAATAATGATGGATATTTAAATAAACAACAACGTCTTTCAGAATTCCATACTAAATAAAATAATATAGAAAAAATATTTGAAAAAACTTCTCCTTACTCAAATCATTTCCATATATCTGAAGATGATGATCATTAATATAAGACATTTTTACTTTTTTTTTATTTTTAGAAAATTAATTTCAGATGAGTTGATCATCGATACTATTAAATAATATTCGTCAATTAATGAAATGAAAAAAATATTTTCATGAAATAATTCATGCTTTTATTCTTCCAACAACTAATCCACATAGAGTTTTTGTTTTTTATCAAAATATTTATTAAAATGAATATGTTGCTCATCGGTATAAACGACGAGAATCTATTTCAAATTTTACTGGATAAAATGATTAATTATTTTCATTTATTTGAAATAAAAACAAAAAGCGAATTATTCTTTTCTTCGAATAGGTACAGGTTTAATAAAATAAAATGAATCTCTTTTATGGACCAATGGAAGATATTTTGGTCATGATAAATATAAATTAGATCGAACATCTTGGAAATAAATACTTGATGGAATAAAAGATGTTCTTTCAATGAGAAATTGAAGTGGAAGAGTATTTAAAAAACAACAAAATTTTTTTTTTAAATAAATTTTTTTGTTTATTAAAGAATTTAGAAAAAAAATCATTTGTTGGATCTGATCCTCAACTTGTATCAATAAATCAATGGAAACGAATGGAAATAAACACTTGAATAATCAGATAAACAACTTTTATCAATTCATATTAATTAAATTGAGAGTTTTCTGGGATAAACAATATCAAATTGATCATTTAATAGTACACAGTATAGATGATCTTGCTTCCAAGTTTTTCTTATTTATTAAATAACATATCTATCAAAAAAGGTTATTCAATGCTGGGTGGTAGAGATATTCAATATAATCCGGTGTTTTCTATCATATAGAATTATTTCAAATGATTATGTTAACATTTATTCATATGATTTATTTTATCAATAATTAAAAAACGATCTTCAATATAAAGATCCATCAGAGATATTTTTTCTTATTTTATATTTAAACAATTTCTATATTGATTTAATAGATATATTTACCCATCACCATCATGTAATTATGCTGTACAAACAATAATACCTAAAGTATAGAATTTGACTAGTTTGGTTTTTTTTTTCTCAATATTATTTTGTTTATTTAAGAAAGAATTAGTTATAGAAGATGATATTGTTTATGAATTAAAATCCGTTAAAAATCAATTTGAAATTGAAGGAATAAAACAAGCTCATGTTAATTAGTCTTACAACTTTCTTGAGATATTTTTATAAAATAACTGTTATATAATATCTATTAAAATATCAAATCTCGACTATATTTAAATCTGTTTAACAATTCTATTAAACGATTTGGATTTATTTCAATGATAATAAGACTAGTATAGATATAAAAAGAAATTCTAACATAATATATATTGAAATAATTTAAATAAAAAAAAATATATTAGTTATTATCATCTTTTATAGATATTTTATATTAATTAATTAAAATAAATCTTATCGATTATTCTATAGACGATTATTTTTCTAATAACGATATAAAACAATTAATAAATAACTCTTCCCTATTTTTGTTGTTAATATAATAAATGAGTTATTCTTCGTTATAAAATCTCTAACCATAGAAGTTGTTTAATGATTTTATTATCGATAATAATATCTTATTTAAATAAATATAATCGAAATTTATTTATGAAAATTTTATATATTAAATATTTCTATATTATATTGACTAATCAAAGAAATAATTTATAAAATAATAAAAAAAAAAAAGAAAAAAACGTATCTGATTTGTTTCTATGGATACAGATATTTATTTTATCTAAGAGAAGATAAAATTCATTTGGAATTATTTTCAAATAAAAAAAAAAATAATTTTTTAAATAAAATAAAGATTTTATTTATTTTGAGTAAAAGATGGAGCTGTTCTTCGTTCATATTTTCATTGGCTTACACAAAATGTTTTGTTTTTCTTTTCTTTTTTTAATTTATAAATAAATTTGTTTTCAGATTGAAATAAATCGTGATTTAACTGAATGAATATTCAATTGCTGAAAAATGAAGAAGATTTAGATCGTTTATTAATTAAATAATATTTAATTTATTTGAGTAAACAAATCAATTATCTTTATCATAGTTTTCAAACAATATCTGCAAGTGTAAAAAATGGTGGATTTATTCATTAGACGTATTAGATATTCTATATATTATTATTTATTTAAGAGCAAACAAAGAATCTTATATAAAAATAACTCGAAATGATTTATATTCAATCGATTCTGGTGGAGAATGTAAGTTAATAAATAAAAAAACTATAATTAATTTGTTCTTAATATTTGTTTGTTAAAGAGAGGGAAGAGGAGATGTAACACGAACTGTTCATTTTGATCAACCATCATTTTTTGAAAAAGTTCTTTTTATTTTATTTCTATAAAAATCATTTCTATAATTATTATTTGAAAATGAACGGTTTTACTCGAGTATAAAAATGTTTTATATGATTATTATCATGTTTATTTCTACGACATAAAAGTGTAGGTCGAGTTGATAAAATCAAGTTTGTTGATATAATAGTTGATAAAGATTTGAAATTAATGTTAAGTTAAATATCGTTTGTAGATAATAAAATTGAGTTTAATCTATCTATTAGAATTATTTGAAATCGATAGAATCCAGATTTCTCATCTATTGTTAATGTGGAAAAAAAACGAATTTATTATTAGTTTTGTTATTGATGATGATAGATAGATTTCAACTTGTTTATTTAATATGGTAGTAAAAAGAGAAAATTCTTTTTTCATTTTTATATCTAAATATCAATATCAAATAAATAATTATTCTCTACTCGTCTATAGAATAAAATCAAAGTTTAGGTTGATTTATTTTTTTTAAAACAAAATCTGATTGTCAACAGGTTATTTGAGTTAGTCGATACTATTTTTAATTTGAAATATTCGATAATATCTCAAATATAAATTAATTTTAATTAAATATATTTATTTCGATAGAATTAAAATCATTTATCAATATTTTGTTTTTGTTTTTTTTTAAAAAATATATCTCGATTATTCTCAATCAATCGAATAATTTTACTCAGAAATCATTCGAGTTAATATGGAATTATCATAGAACGTTATCTATATTGAATATCTATGGATGAAATCAAATCTTCATTTTATTTTAAGATAGAATCTCGTGTTTTTTTTATAAAAAAAAAAACTCTCGAATTGTGAAAATGAATATTTTAGGAAGTAAATATAAGTGAAGAGTTTTTCTCAAATTGATAATGTTCGAAGTAAACGATCATATATAATAGGTAGATAAATAAAATTGTTTTATTTATTCTGATAATGTGGTAACTCTCTATGAATAAATATATTAGTATTTTATGATAAAATTCAAATATTTTCATATAATATAAATTGATTAATAATATACTGATCAGCTTTGGAACCGGTCCGGTAAATACCGGAAAATTACCAGTTTAAGTTTAAAAAATATTATCTTTACTTCGCTCTTATTCGGCAAGAAGAACTATGTATTTTGCTATGAAGTAGAATAAATTTTCCATCATTATACATATATGTCCAGAAAGTCTTTCCATAGTGCCAATATTAAAAATTTTGTTCAGTTTATAATCGATATTTATCGCGATGATTGTAATACTATGATAGACACGAAGACAATTAGGCATATGTTTTATCAGTTTTGAAATAGATCAGGCAGTACTAGATTATAAAGATTATGCATATCTTTTCTAAAAGTTTCATAAAAAATAAATAATATTTTCTCAAGTACGAACATTGAAATTTTCTAAGATATGCTTATAAAAAAACTATTCCTAGGTCGATTTCAGTTTTCTGTACTTAGGATACGAGGAGCTAAATGAAATTGTTTGAACCGTGTTATTTAAATATTAGATAATTCATTTTACAACTAGAAACAACTTTATCAATTTCTACCGTATTTTCGGATGTTTGTAACCATTTTAAAGCGGTATGCTTCACCGGAAATTGGCCGGTTTGCCGGAATTTCACCGGTTCAGAAATGATTAACAACCGGCCGGACCGGACTGTTTTATCTTTTTCTTACCGGTTCCAACCCTGATACTGATAATAGATCCACTCTAATCGTTAGATTATCGAAACTTCAAAGAGAAAATAAAAATAAAAAATCGTCTTCGAAATCAATGTTTGATATTGATTTCTTTCGCGAATTATTTATTTAAGAAAAAAAAAAAAGAATTATCTCAGTTTGTCAATTGGTCTAGATCCTATTTAAATGAAATATTTCTATAAGTAGAACGAGAGAATTTTGGATGGTAACTTGTTTGTTTTTTCTTTTGAAAAATCTTTCACTGTTTATTTGTGTCATAGTTGAGAGAAAAAGAAAATTGTTGAATATAAAAAAGAACTATTTTTGTCAGTATTATTATATTTATTTAAATCGAAAGAAATAAAAATAAACAAATAGATAAATCAAATGAAAATATTCTATAGATTATTAAAAAAAAGTTATATTCGTCGATTGAATTAATTCAAACATCACTATTTTACTTCTATTTGAATCAATTCTATACATTTAAGAATTGATCGGAGTCAACAAATAAAAAGATCTGATCATCTCAATCTATAGGAAGAAACATGAGAATTTTTACAAATGATAATTTCGAATAACTTTCTCAGATATTATATAGAATCTTTTCATTTTCGATCCTTATCTATAAAAGAACTTTTAAATAAATAAATAATAAATGAAAATGAATATTTTACTGATTATCTAAAATAGAAAAATGTTCCATCAAATATTATTTTCTCTAATCTTAAATCGAATAAGATAATTCTTGAATAAATAATTGGCACGTCGTGCACTTTGAGATGTTGGGTTAGATTATCGACATGGAAGAGGACATCGTGTTTCTTGTTCTTTTTATGTTCATCAAGGTTTTATTTAATAATAAATTTTGTTTTCATTTTATTTTGTTAAGGTTCACAACCAATTGGTACTCGAATACGTTCCGACAATTATTTACTTCCCGGAATGATTCTTAGTGATGGTTTGCTTGTTTTTCTTTATTATAATAAAAATTTTTTAAAAATGAAAATGGAAGCTGGATATTATTTTGATTATGAATTTGTTATTCCTATTGAAAATTTCGTATGGATATTATAATGAAGATTGGTTGACATTTGAACAATTAACAATGATTCCTATACAACGAAAATGAATTGATCGATCATTATTAAACAATGATGAAGTTCATCCTTTTTTTTTTAATTTAAATAAAAAAAAAAAGTAAAAATTGTTATTTATTTAAATAATAGATTAATTATATAAATAAATATGATGAAAGGCTTCGTCAAATAATTCTAGATGAAATGAAAAAAGTTTATTTGAATGAATTCAAACAAATATAGAATCTATTTTATTTAAACAAGTTCGATAGAATTATTATATGTAAATAAAGAATACTTTTTTTTAAAAAACAATTTCATTGATACTTTTCTATCTTTATTTCTAAAGAGTTTATTTGTGATTAACATCTATTAAATAAAAATAATTCTATATATATTTGAGATAATCGATTATTTATTTATGTCTTCATATTGAAGATAATTATTTAATTTAAACAAAAGAATATTTATTTATATTCAACCTTTACAATTTCAATATGAATCAATTAAAAGAAATTATTTCGATAGAATATAAATTAACTTATTTTAAAATGTTATAGATAGAAAACGATTTGTTTCATCGAACAAGTTAATGTATATTCAATATAAGAGAATTTATCTTTACTTCTCTACTCTTAAATCATATTTATTTATTAAATAAATAATCATCAACAATAGAAATTGAATTTTCAATATATTTATCAAATTTATTAAATTTCTCATCTATCGTATCCTTATATTATATATCGAATAAATAGAGAGGATATTATTTATTAAATAACTCGGACCAAATTACCTCGAATAGGATATTAATAGGATGTTAATATATATTATTTTATTCTATTCTATTGTTTAGTTCTTCTCTATTAGGATAACAAGTCAATTTCGATAGAATAGAATAGTCAAACCGCGATTATCCGGATCTGATATATCTTCGAATATTATTATATTTAGAATATATTCTAAACGAATAGATATGGATAACACTATTTTAAACTATCAAAGATAATTTATCTCGATACGAATAAACAATTATTAAAATAATATAGAATAAATAGTCGATTAGATCTACAAAATATGATTGATATATAGGAAAAAACAAGAATAAAAATTAATTAAAATTAACATAAATGAAATATGTTAACGAATGATAAAATAATACTAGAAATAAATAAGTGTTTATTATTGATTAAATAATAAAAGTGAGATTGTTGGATAACGATTTCGATCAGGTCGATTATATAGAAACAAATCATCTAGAATTTAAATCGATAGATATATAAAGGTTATTAAATAGGTTTATGTTAAACGATAGTAGAGTTTGTTAAATAGGAATATTAAATGAATTGAATAGAGTCAATTCTTTTATTTCGAATGATAATTCGATGAATTTATTCTCTTTTAATAACAAAATCAATTATTTCTAGAAACGTTTTTTTTCTATTTGTCAACAAAAAATATTTCTCTATTTCAAATTTTAATTTAAAGATTTTATTTTATTTGAATTTTAATCGATATTATTTCATATATAAGAGAATCTCGATAAAATTATATATTTTACACCGACAAATAATTGTTTGTCTATTTTGTTTTTTTGGAAAAAAAAGTCTGAGTTGAATTGATATGTTAAAAAAAAAGTAAATAGTTAATATAAAATTAAATCGAACTATTTTATATTAGTTTTCATTTGTAAATCTTGTTCTTGTTTTTATAAAATAATTAAATAAAATTGATTTATTTAAAGATGAAAGATAATATTAATAAAATGTCTAATCGAATTGCTATTTAAATTAAAATTGAATTATTGAAAATTGTCAACTAAAATAGTTGGTATCGGTGTCTCGCAATAAAATAGTCGTGCTGATAAACAAGAATATTTTCAAATAGGAGAATAATTAATAAATCAAGATAAAAAAGAACAAACTAAAGTTTGTTTTTTTTGAATTTAAATAAGAATTCTAATAAATGTTGAATAGATTCGATTTTTTCGTGAAAGATTTTATTATATATTTGAAACAATATGGGAAAGACTTGAAAAAGCCGAACCAATTGATGGTCCAATTATAAATCAATATAGAGAATTAGCAAAACAACATCAATTATGGATTTCATTACATGGTTTTCATCAACGAGTCCGTTTTCGATTTGTTTTTTATTAATTAATTTATTGAAAAAAATCTAATTTAAGTCAGGTGATGAACACTCGTCTATTAAATAGTCATTTAATAATAAATTATCAATGTGATATTGTTGGTCGATATTCTAAAATAGATTTATTTTATGTTCAACCTGCTTGTCTAGTTATTCGAGAGTCAGATTTTACACAACCTGGTTGATCTATTACTAATCCAATTGAAAAACCAGCTGGAAGAATTGCTCTTGAAATTGTATTTTATTTAATTAATATTCTATTCTATTCTATTCTATTATTTTATTTTAGTGTTATGATCTTCGTTTTATTGAATTTGGTCGATTATAAAGAGGATCTGTGCATTTAGTAAACATAGAGGAGAAGCTGATTGGGAGATAATTTATTCAGATAAATAATAAATTATCTTAGAAAAAGAATTTGTTTTTTATTTTGATTATTTCATTTGTTTTTTTTTTACATAAAATTGATTTTGAAAAAGCCTTTTTAGAAAATCGACACATAAGAAAGAAAATAATTTAGAGTTTTGAGAGAAGATAATCTATGATGATTGACAATATCATTTTAATAAATTTATTTTAAAAATCGTTTTTTTTTCTATAACCGATAACAATAATTCAAATTCTCCTTTCAATAGAAAATTTTGTTTTTTCGATAAGCTTTTTCAATAGAAATATGAATTATCAACGAAATCAAACTTCATCCGGCTATTGATTAGGTTTTTTCCTTATCAGAGATTTATCGTTATCAGAGATTTATCGTTATCAGAGATTTATCGTTATCAGAGATTTATCGCTATCAGAGATTTATCGTTATCAGAGATTTATCGTTATCAGAGATTTATCGCTATCAGAGATTTATCGTTATCAGAGATCCAATAAATTATCTATTCACACCAAATAAGATAAAACAAAACAGTTTTATACCTTACCTAAGATTGACATGTGAGAAACAAAAACTCGTAGAGATCCTGTAAAATAGTTCATTTTCTAGATAATTCTTTTCTCGATGATATTGCCCCCTATTCAAACAGAATTATATTTCAGATTTTTTAGATAAAAAATGTTGCCCTTTTTACTTTTGAAGAGGATCTATTCTTGATAAACTAGGAATTGGTTTTTCCCTCTACTGAAAGGAGGGTCATACACCGAGCAAGGTTCGTATGTTCGTGACTCCGTCCGTCCGTTCGTTCGTTCGCACAGAACGAAAAAAATGTTTTTTTGACCTCTCACATCATCGATCTTACAACAAATCTTAACCACTACCACTACATCAGTACAGAGTCTCTACCCTCTCCCCTCACCAACAAATCAGATGTCTGCATTTCAACCAACCAGATTTCATGTGACAGATTTTCAGCCAATCATAGATTTTCACGGTCTCCGTATACGCGAATGAGATTTCGAGAGTGGCCATTTGGATCAATCATATGTTTTCATGGTTTGGCTACGCACCAATGAGATTTCGAGAGTAGCCAATTTGGACCAATCATAAGTTTTCAGTCTGGCCATGCATCAATGCAATTTCGAGAGTTGGAATTTCGACCAATCATAGTTTTTAACAGTCTGGCTATGCACCAATGAGATTTTGAGAGTGGTCATTGGGACCAATCACAGGTTTTCATGGTTTGGACATTTGGACCAATCATAGATTTTCACGGTGTGGCTCTGCGCCAATGAGATTTCGAGAGTGGTCATTTGGACCAATCATAGGTTTTCACGGTTTGGCTATGCACCAATGAGATTTCGAGAGTTGGAATTTCGACCAATCATATGTTTTCACGGTGTGGCTCTGCGCCAATGAGATTTCGAGAGTGACCATTTGAACCAATCATAGGTTTTCACGGTTTGGCCATACACCAATGAGATTTCGAGAGTGATCATTTGAACCAATGATAGGTTTTCACGGTTTGGCCATACACCAATGAGATTTTGAGAGTGGCTATTTGGACCAATCATAGGTTTTCACAGTTTTGCTATGCACCAATGAGATTTTGAGAGTGGCCATTTGGACCAATCATAGGTTTTCACAGTTTTGCTATGCACCAATGAGATTTCGAGAGTAGCCATTTGGACCAATCATAGGTTTTCTCAGTTTGGCTATCCACCAATGAGATTTCGAGAGTGGCCATTTGGACCAATCATAGGTTTTCACAGTTTGGGTATGCACCAATGAGATTTCGAGAGTGGCAATTTTGACCAATCGTAGGTTTTCACAGTTTGGGTATGCACTAATTAGATTTTGAGAGTAGCCATTTGAACTAATCACGGGTTTTCACGGTTTGTCCAAGCACGAATGAGATTTTGAGGGTGACCAATTAAATGTATCATAGCTTTTATTTTAATTTGGCTATGTGCGAATGATATTTTGTGAGTTAAGATTCGGAACAAGGATGGGTTTTCAAGTTTGTGTGGGCGTGGATGTAGGGGTGTGCATGTGGGTGTTGTTGTGGGCGTGGGTGAGGATGAGGCTGAGGGTGAGGATGGGAATGTGTTTTTATAGGCGGAGGGTGGGAATATAGGTTGAATAGGGTGTGGGTGTGGCGAGTGTGGAAGTGAGTTGAATTTGGATGTTAGTCTGAGAGTGGGTGTGGGTGTTGACATGCTGTGCGTTTGGATGGGTTGGAGTGTGAGTGTGTGTTTGGATTTGGAATTGAATGAAACATTCTGATGCATATCGACATCGACATCCACACTGGATCCTGCACTCATAGGCACCGTGTTTGTGTTTGAAACTGGCAGTCTAGATTTGAGTATGGTCGGAATACCTATTGGGGCGGTATTCTTGGGTATTTTCTGTGAGTTTTAGTGCTGTGTGGTAGTTAATGATACCGTACTGGTTGTATATTAAAGTTTATCGAATGAAATGAGGGTGGTTCGGTTGCCTTTAGTCCTCAATGCAGTTTGTGGTTTTGTTACGATGGGGTCACATGAAGGTGCACTTGCGAGTTTAGCGGAGATATTGGTAACAAAATATGGTTGACACTGTTTGTCTTCTCTGGAATCGTTACTTAAGAAAGTTTTATATGACGTATGTCATATGTAGCTTGTATTGTAGTGGGTAGCTGTCAAATGCTGCTTGGGATGCCGGTTGGATGCGCAAGTGATAGTGACTTTCTATCAATACGGTTCGTTTGCATAGTTCAAATTCTTTTCATTTTCTTTTGTCTTTATCGCTTTTATTTGAAATAGAGTTTCGTACAAGTTTTACAAAATGATCTATGGACTAGAACTGTAAAATGCACAAATTTCGAGCATGCAATATAGAGTTTTTTTATCAGTTAGATGGTTTGCCTGAAGATCACGGCACTCTTGGGATGTTGTTGTTTTAAACAATGAATTGAAAACGTTTCCGAGTACTGTGTGCTATTTTATCTAATCTTTTAAGTTCTTCTATTTGGGCCGTTGATGGTTTAACTTGAAGTGTTCCAAATTCGAATGGACGTATGATTAGTAAATCGTCAAGTCTCTTTACACGAGATAATGGAACATAAACCGATGCGAGTTCAATTGGGCCAGGCGGCATCACCAGATCGACGATAATTTTACCGAGTGTTTGGCCTTGGCTTTTATATGTTGTCATGCTGTATGCGGGTATAAGCGGAAGTGCTTTACGTTTGACCGTGAGTTTTGTTGTTTTCTTGTTTATTTTGGCTGCTTTTGCTACATTTTCTGGAAGAAGTTCTTTGGCGTCGAACAAGAATGTTTGTTCACTAATAGCTATAGGAACTATTTTGGACTGCAGTTCAGCAAGTTTGTTATCAAGTTTGCAACCAGGAAATTCTACTAAAGCGTACTTTGGTTGCGTTATAAACTTGGTATTTGGTGGAAAATTCTTATCCTGGTATCGAACATCTTCTGATGATTCATCGTATACACGTTGACGAAAGATTCCACGTGTACCATTGGAGAGTCCGAGCTCAGTAGCGACGTTTTCTGTGAGTAAAACTGGCATTCCTGGTACGAGAGGTAAATAGCCTGGAAGATGTTCTGTTTTATTATCAGGTAGTTCAAGTATTGCTTTACGTAATCGTAGATCATCCACTGGTTTTCCTTGAATATAATCTTGAGCAATGCATACAATTGGGGTAAGTCCCATTTCCATTGTTTTGTTTAAGACAGCTCTATTATTAATTTCAGTGAGTTTCGTATTCCGAAAAACCAGTACTGGAGCCTATTGAAAGAAAAGTAATGTGATACACAGAGAAAATGAATGTACATACGTCGTTCCATGGCTTTTGTTGTAGAGATACTTGAAGTTTTGGATTTCCTATGACTCTCGTACACAGAAGTTGGTAATCTTCTATTGTCGATTGTCCATGTCTTAATCTATTTAAAAGCTCCAAATATCTTATGTCTTCGGTTCGCATTTGCTGAGTTAATTCAACAACGCAGTTTATTTCAGACATAAGCTTCTGTGCACACAACATATCTATCTGACGTTCTGTAATTTGCTGTGTCGATGCGCAGCTATAGTAGAGAGGCTTGTCCAAAACTGGAGAATATTGAAGGTAATCGCCAAAGAAAATGACATTGACACCACCAAAAGGTATCTCAGAATTTATGTGCTTGGCTGTTTTCACTATTCGATTGAGACGAGCTAATAGGCTAAGTCCTACCATACTCATCTCATCGATTATCAAATACTTCACATGACGCCATTCATTTTCCAATTTCGTATCGCCAGGTCTAAATGTACGGGTTTGTTTCTTTTTACTGTTTTTGCGACTTTCACCTAAAAATGAATGGATAGTTAATCCGTCAATTTCAGCTGCTGCTATAGACGTTGGTGCCAGTTTACGCAACATCTTGTCCCTCTTGGTTACTTGGAAATATTTGGTAATTGCACGAATCAACTGAGATTTTCCAGTACCACCGCAACCAGGTATGCACATTAATAACTGATTATCGATAGTATCTAAATATCAAGACTATTCAAAACTTTCAATAACAAAATCAATAAAATATTATATACCGGTATAAGCATGATTTTCGCCATCTAAGTGACTAGTTATAATCATAAAAGCATATTTTTGCTGAGTGCTTAGTGTAAATTGTCTGATAATATCTTGTTTTGTTGGAAATAATATTGCATTGGTTGTAGTCACAGGTGGAACTCTTGTAGCTCTCGTTTTAATGGGACTTGTTGGAATTTCAGTTGCTACGACTTCAATCTGTGTTTCATCATCTCGCACTTCCAGAGTATTTTCCCCTGAAATTAAATAGTTTCTTGCTTCATCTCGTCGACCTTCAATGTCACGTTTCCATCCTTTAATCATGACGCTGTGATGTGCGTGAGCTACCACAAATGTGTTGATGTCGTGTATGGTG